TGTGCAAGACTGTTGAGTCGCAGATCTGTACTTCTGCAACAAATAATGCATATGTTAAGAAAAAAGAAAAAGAAGAAGATAGCAGGAGGGGAAGAATGAGGGGGAGTAAGTCAGAGGGGTAGACGAACCATGAGAGACGATGGACTCTGAAAAACAAACTGAGGGTTCTAGAGGGGAGGAGGGTGGGGGGATGGGTTAGCCTGGTGATGGGTATTCAAGGGGGCACGTTCTGCATGGAGCACTGGGTGTTATGCACAAACAATGAATCATGGAACACTACATCAAAAACTAATGATGTAATATATGGTGATTAACATAACAATAAAGAAATTTTTAAAAAATTGAGTAAGTAAATAAATGGAGAAGGGACAACTTTCTTTTCATAAGAATTCCAATAAATATAGAATATAGAATACCAGTAATAACTGCCTCAAAGTGGAGGAACCAATGGATGCTAAAATTAGTGGGTTACAGATGGCTTTTGAAGATAAAAGCGAACTTAAACTTTCTCAAAGTAGCTTCCCCAAGACATTTATTAAATACAAAAAGGAAACAAATTTACAGTGGAGAAACCTGGCAGACAACTACGTTAACCAAGTAATCAAGGTTAACATTGCTAATAATTAGACAGTGATATCACGTGTCCAACCATAGGATACAATGAGAAGCACACATAACTCCAGAAACTCAGAAGATGACCTCTGGCCTAGTATAACAATCAAACCACTGAACCACATTATATGGTTATCCTAAGAACTATACTTGAAATACAATATTTAATGTTACAGGCTCTCCATTATTGCAACCAACTGGCAAAAATAAATAAGCACGCTGTTAAAAATAAAAGCAATTCTTGGGATGTGTGCGTGGCTCAGTCGGTTGACCGTATGGCTGTTGATCTCAGCTCAGGTCTTGATTTCAGGGTCCTGAGTTCAAGCCCTGTTCTGGGCTCCATGCTGGGCATGGAGCCTACTTAAAAAAAAAAAAAGGAATTCTTAAGACTTCCAAAATCAAAGTACTTACCAAAGGAAAAAAGATGAGTTACAGGAAGCTGAATAGATCTCATCTCTTTTTTAAAGAATTCACAATCTACAACAAACTAAAATATAAAACATTGATATTTAGGAAAAAACAATTACATTTATAGTAAAATATCTTCACTTCATGTTTAAGTGGAAAATAGAAGTCTATAAATAAACTTCAGCTTTGTAGAAGTTATTACCTATCACATTCTCACTCTGGCTATACTTAGATGGCAACAATTACTCAAACAGAGATGCTAAGCTAAGAAAATTTGATGAACAAGCTTAACTTAATAAATTATTGGAGGATCATTTTTACAACAGCTGATGTATAATCCAGTTTCCTTCCAGTTAGCTTTAGGTGTTTATAGAAGAGGGACCGTAAAGGATGGATCAAAGCATTAAGAATCAAGGTTAACTCAAGATTAATCAGAGATTTAGATAAAAATCTCTCAATACTTCCATAGTCAAAAAGAAGTATGATTTTGCTACATTTACTTTTTAAAAATCCCATATTAATTACGTATCTCTAACACTCTAATTAGACTACAAAAGACGTGGAGATGGACATACTGCCATTCATCTACAGATGGCTAAAGTTATTTGTATAAGATTATTTCAAGCTAAACAGTGATTAAAATGGAAAAAAAGGTTTACTATGTATGAAGCAAGAAAAAGAAATGCTATCTCAAAAAAAGTAAAACTAAAATGTGACATCTGCATAATTACAATATTTTGTAATGACATTTCTTATGTAATAACATTTCTACAATGGCATAAGGAACTTTGTCCTAAACTGTCTGCAATAAGAACGGTTTCATTAAAATAATCTCCATAAGGAAACCAAATTACTTTGATTTATAGGAGCTGAAGAACAAATTAATCTGATGCTTAATTGTAGCTAGGAAGTAGTTTGCTGTCTATAAGAAGCAGAAAGCCAGTGACGTCTATCCTAGGCTTTTCCAGTAAGTACATCTTGGATTGTGCTTGAAACAAGGTTATTTTGTTTGTCTCTTGGGTGGATTTTTTATTATTTCTGAAAGTCAAAAATAGATGTGGGAAAATGCTATCTGACTACAGTATACATATTAGGAATAAAAGGAAAAACTTGTTAAGGGGCTTTGCTTTTCTTCCCCTTCTTTACTTATAAGGCCAACAATTCCATCAGACATTTTCCTAATAGAAAACAGCTGTTACAAGGTTAGAACAATCATCTACTGAACAAGATTATTCATTATATATTTACAAAGCACTTTTGGGTGAGACATTGCCTGAGACAGAGAATCAATTTTAAATCACTTTGTACAGGTATTTAAAATAATACAATTTTTATTATTGCTTTAATTTTATTATTGCTATCATAATAAAAATTTATTTTTATTAATGCTTTTTTAATAAAAATTTTTATTATTGCTTTCCCTTTATGGAATAAACCCATACCCAAGAAAAGAATTCAAGGGTCTGTCTCTTTCTAATGGAATTATTTTGTTTTCTGTCATCAAAAAATGCAAGTAATTCCATATTTGCATTTTGAAAACTCTATTATCAGTTGACTGCAAAAAATTTTCAAGCTGTCTATTTAAATATATGTATCCTGATGATGGGTTTGTAACAGATATGCAGAAATTATAAAAGGCCTAAATTAACATCCTTGTGAGACTGGGTATGCAACAGTAGAGTCAGCAAGTGTTACTTTCCAAAGAGCATTAAGACATATTAAATATTCATTAGGTTGCTAAGGCTGGCTATTTGTGAAAGGCTCATTAATTTCTTGGAATAACCAGATAGGGCCTTTCCAAGTTTGGGAAAGATGTTTAAATTCATTCAAAGCCAACTTACCTGACAGAAAAACCCCTAAAGAGAGCTTTTAGAATTGAAGATGCTGAATTACCTCTCACTTGTGCTAAGCAAAACAAAACATGAATTCATTATAAGGTACTTGTGAGACTCAGTCTTTGAGTTAACTCCCAACTAAATCCCCCCTTTCCTTTATCTTTAAAATTTTCCTAATGATTTTGGCCTCAAATCTCAACAATTTTCTCACTAAAGAACTATTTTTTGAGCACTTATATGGTAGTGAGTTGCTAAAGGATGAGGATGCAAAGTATAATAAAATCTATCTGGTCTTACTCCCAAAGAATTCACAATATGGTGATGATAATAGAGAGATAAACAAATAAATTATAATTCAGCATAATTCCTCAAAGAAGTTATAAACAAAGTGTCATGGAAATAAGAAGTTACCTGGATGAGTCATGAAAAGTAAAATAGGAACACTTAAGATAGATACTGAAGGATGAGCTTGTTGGGTGAAATGTGGAATGGGAAGTAGAGGGTCTTTTACTTCTATCTTCTTGCTTCCCCCTCCCCCAACTTCTCTCAAAAATTACCATCCTTTTATTTCTACTCCCCACTTCCCTAGTTCAAGCCCTCATAACCCATTATACAGCAGCTCGTCTCTGTTTCTAAACCATGCACACCATAAATAGATTCATCTTCCAAAATGGCTCTGATCCCATTTCTACTAACAGTGAAAATCTTTCAGCTGCCTACTAACTCCTGAATTCTATGAAGTCCTGAATCTAACTGAGGTCCTCTAGAGTATGGCCATGAACTACTTTCCCAGACTTTTCTTCCACTACCATCCTACCCATGTGGCCATCTTTTCAAAATTACTATTTACTTATTTACTGTTTCCAAACATATCTCATATTTTCACTTTCATGCTTGGATCTCATGGTTTCTTTGTCCCAGCAGTGCTGTTCATTATAACTTTCTGCAATGATATTACTACTGAGCATCTGGAATGTAGCCAGTACAACTGAGGAACTGAATTTTTAATTGTATTAGTTTTAATTGCTTTAAATTCAAATAGCCACATGTGCCAGTAGCTCCTATATTGGACAGGACAGGTCTACAATGTTTCTGATACCCATAAAAACATTAACTATCCTTTAAGGAAATTTTAAATATCACCTCATAATAAAGCCTTTCCCCATTCCATCATTCAGAGATATCTCCCCTTCTTATACCTGTATTTGCTATATTCTGATTTGTATTATACTTTGGGGTACCTCTTTTATTCTCACTCTTCCTTCTGTTTCCAAATGTTTCTCTCCCCCTACCCAACCGTATGTAGTTTTTTGAGAATAGGATTCATGTCTCCCTCATTTGTGTGCCTCCTATAATTCCTGGCAGAATCTTGCACATAAAAGGGTACTCAATAATGAATAGATTTTGAAAGACTAAAATGTAGAGTACGTTCCCACTTTGAACACAGAGACTTGGATTTATTCTGCTTAGTTAAGTTAGAGTAGATGAACCTAATGATTTAACAGTCTTAGGTGGATCACCAAACTGGTCATTGTTTTAGATAAGCACTATGTTGAAGAATTCATCAAAAAATAACTTAAATATTTAGCATGAGTATCCACTAAACATTCGATAACCTTAATCCATTTGTTACCTTACTTCCATGAATAGATGGTACATAAACAACAAGATGAGACAAAGATGGATAGTCTTGAAGTCTTAACGTCAAAGACTGGGGAAAAAAAAAAGGACATAAAAAGCTGATTTTATTTCTGAGGGTATACAGAACTTAAAACATGTTAGGGGAAATTATAAACACTTATTTCTTATTTAATTGGTTATAAAAAACTGATTTCAAACTTTATATTCGGTGCCTCATAAAACGCCCATGTTTACATTTTCAGGTCAATAATCCTTAAGTCAAACTCCTAATATTTTGTAAATATGGACTGCCAAAAATATTCCTTGAGCTGTATCCCTTCATGTAAAACAAATGACATTTAATATTAAATATAATATTTTACATAATTATTTCCAGATTTGGTATCTTTTATAATTTGTCCATTTGTTTTTTATAACATTACGATAAAATTTCTACATTTATTTTGGTAGCTAGCATATGACAAAGAGCATTCAGTAGCTGATGAATGAATGAATGCTAAAAATAATGGAAGAGTTGCAACTTAATCTCAAATGATTTTGATCTAGCCCAAGCAGTAAAGATTCGCTGTCTAATGATATATATGAATAACATACTCTGGAACTTATTCAGTAAATGACATGAAGACACAAGAAGACTAATAATGCACCTTATCAAATGAAGATCTATTTCAAAATTAAGACCAGATCCTACAGCCTATATTTTGAGGAATAAATACGTAAGAGACTGGTCTATTTAATGAAAAGCTACAGCACCAAATACAGTTTTTAAATCCAAGGTTTTTTCTGGAAGTAGATGTGGGGGTGGCAGTAGTTATATGTGGTAACAATTTGTATGTATTAAGAAATTTCTGCACCCAGGACACCACCCTTCCGCTGAAGCAGGGCAGGCGGGCGTTGTCATCCGAAATCTCCTCCTTCACCACCCTGCCGAGGGACAGCATGCAGGCCAGTGAGAATGGCCTAGCGCCCCCCACATGCACCCCTGTTCAAGGCTTCTCCCGATCTTCGTCCAGGTGAAGGACGTTGACTTTCCTGCACCTTGACCAAGTCCTCGTCCCTGACGCTGAAATGCTTCTTCGCTCTCACACCTAGGGAGTTTCCAAATTCACCCCCTTTCCTTCCTCCTCCTCCTCTCCCCAAGTCATCCTCAGGTTTTGACACTGCTCCAAAGATTTCCTTGGGTCTAATCCAAACCTCTCACTCCAATCTCAAAGGCCATCCCATCCCCTCTGGTGACCCCAGCTGCCCCAAATGTCTGTCTAATCTTAGGAGCTCTGCTGGCACCTCCCCCAACCTCCACCCTGCTCCTCACACGCCGTCCCCAGTCCCCAAAGCCTTTGGTCCAGAGTCTGTAGTCTCATGCTTTCCTTAGCTTTCTCTATCTCACTCCCAGAGAGCTATCCAAATGTGCCACCTTTCCCCACGTAAAAATACCCATTAGACCAAAGAATGGTACTTGCTCACAAGGCTGAGCACTTCTAAGGAGAGGTGAAGCCCAGTTTCCCATTCGCCTGTGGCTCATCTGGCACGGAATTCTACACTAAGCAGCCCAGGGGCACTAACTCCCACGGGTTCCTTGGGATGGACGGGACTTGCCCCTTCTTCTCAACCACCACGAGAAATCGTGGATGTCTATTCTGTTCAACACTGTATCCTGGTCACACAGCAAGGAACCTGATGCCTAGTGAGAATGAACAAGTATCTGTTGAATAAACATATGAATTATGAAAAAAAAAGAAATTTCTGCAGACAGTTAACTTTCTCTAACGTTCTTCAGAAGCACCTATGTGGGCAAGTTGAACAGAGGTGCTAAATCTAAAGAACTGTGAACAAGTGGCTAACAACCTGACCAGATTCACCTGTTTTTTTACAACTTCCTAGGCTTCACCTTGACTTACTTGCCAAAGTCTCAGCAACAGACTAATCGGTTCTAATGTAAATTAAAAGGCCTTAAAAGGGCCTCACAAATCACAGCGACAGGCAACTGAGACCAACCAAACAGATGGTAGACAGTATGAAAGATAATTAGAAAGAACCTTGGTAACTCTGTGTGGCTATCCACTCTACTAGCCTTTGTTATTTATTCTCAAGAATAGTTTTTTTCTCAAGAATTTTTTTGTAGGATCAGAATACTTTAAAAAGGTAACAGTGTCAAAAAAATTTCCTTATAAAGTTGCTATATAGTTATAATGTCAGTAGGAACTTGACAATACAATCATATTCATGAAATTGTTAGGTTGACAGATAAGGTTAATATAAAGTTTGGAAATTTTTCAGTGTTTTAAGGGTAAAATGCCCTTAATGCTGAAACAACATACACAGAAAATCAAATACCAGGTTTTGATGTGCAGAGCAAAGCTATGGTGCTAAAGTATGATTAAGGCAAAATGGCTACAAGGTAGTTTTCTCATACAAGTTAGTTATCTTTAGAAAATTACCTTTTTTGTTTTCAACAATAAATCCATTTTGGCTTACCAAATTCTTGGCCTACTGTGCTTTGTGTTTTTAGAAACTTCTTCATTGTACACATGACAGAAAAATTCCATATGACTGGTATTTAAAAACTGAATTTACAGGTGCTTTGCTGGAGTCTCCTATTTATTAACAGTTCAGTCAGCAGCAATGCTAAAAGTGATATGATTCTCATTTGACATTACTTTTGTTGAGATGATATGAATATGAATAAAATTCATGAAATCTTTTCACTTTAACTTTTTCTTTCTCTTCAACTTGATGGCAAAATAACTTTGTGTCCTTTTTAGAAGTGGCTAACACATCTAATTTTGATTTTCATTAAAATGGAGTTTATGTTTAATAATTATAATCCTCTTCAACTGAGAACACCTAAGATTGCAGAATATTGCAATCCTTATTTTCTAAACATCCTTCTCCCATTTTCCCCCTCTAAATTTCAGTAGGCTTTTAATGCTATCTGGCAACCTCTTTCAGCATTCACTATAAAAAGCAAGCAGCAGCTGGGATGCCTGGATGGCTCAGTCAGTTGAGTGTCCGACTTTTGGCTTTGGCTCAGGTCATGATCTGAACATCCGACTTTTGGTTTTGGCTCAGGTCATGATTCCAAGGTCGTGAGATCGAGCCCTGTATCAGGCTTCCCACTCAGCGGGGACCCTGCTTGAGACTCTCTCTCCTCTGAAATAAATAAATCTTGAAAAGAGAAAAAAAAAGTAAGCAGCTGGAATAGCTTGTTCTGCTGTTCTGCCAGCTGTTTCTCACATTTAGAAGAAAGAACACAGGGTCTAGAAATAGATGAATACATTGTTGAATCTTTGAAATTAAAAATATACATAAGGATTTTATTATTTAAGATGTAACTTTTTAAAACAGGAGCAAAGTAACATTCTATCAGGAATTTAATCATTTATTTCTTCCTCTTAAATTACAAATTAAATAGGATATACTATCCAAATTGGAAATTCAAGGAAAGATTTATGAATGATTATCATTAAGTATATCCTAGACTTTTGTTTGTTTTGCTCCTGCCTAAAAGGCTAGGATAGAACCAGTGAGAGACATTAAAAATGTTCATATGAGTCTAATCACTTTCCTACAATATTTATCTCTTGAACACAAAGCCATATGAATGAATATACACAAAATAAGGATGACTGAGGTGACAGAAAAAATAACTGCAACCATTCCAAAGTCAAATGTGAAGTAACTTGCAATTACTCATTCTATCATCATTCCTCTCTGTTAGTATAGTACAGAGCTGCCTATACAGATAAATAACAAATAACTGGACTGGGAGATGCCTGGGACCAACCAGATGGTTTCACTTTCAAGTTGAAGAGGCTAGTATTCATCATGAAAAAATACTTGAAGACGGAAAATTATCACTCCTGGTGTAAGATTATGAGTTATAATAAACACAGTTTAGAAATCAGAACAGGTATTTCATCAAATTTTAGAACTGTTTTATTTTCTCAACAATATTAACCTTTCGTAAAAGGACTCGCTGACCCTATCAGAGTTACTTAAGGAAATCACAAAGAATTATTAAATAAATCCCACAGAGTATTAGATAAAGCAGAGTTATCCAAGTGCTTGACCACAAAGTAATGTTGAAGTAGATCTGGAAAATTACTTTGCATCTCTTTGAGATGCTCGCTCTCCTACTGTAGGTCCTCTCCCAAAAACTTAAGCTACTACTCAGCTTCTATTTTAAGACAGACCATTCCAAACATAGCCTCAAAATAAACTAAAAAAATTTTTCTAGCTCTTGGTATGATGCTATAATATACAGATTTAATTTTATTTAGAAGATTGTTAACTTACAGTTTTTATCTCTGCAAGTTAAAAAAAAAATTGTGTTTTTCTCCATTAAAATGTATTTCCAGAGAAAATATTTCTAAACTGTATGTTAGCAAATCTCAAGTTCATTTAATAGTTAGATGAATTAATAAAAGACCATATTCTAAAATGCCTAGAGACTCAAGAATTTTTTAGTATTTTAAAATTTTAAAGCCGTAATTTACCTTAATTGTTGGCAGTAGTTCAGCTTTCCATGATAAATCAATCCCTTGCCGGCTTTGAAATGAATATGAAAATATAATTAAAGGACAAATATACTAAAATATTATAAATTATAAATAAGCTTCAGAGGAAAAAGAAACCAGCTACAGACCTATCAGAGAAAGTTCTAATGAAATGAGGTGCAATAAGTCTAATCCAATATACTCATCCATACAGTCCTTTTGGATACAAAAAAATTATTTTTCCTAGGAACCATTTCTATGTTTGCAAATACTACTGATATGTTAATTTCATTTAAAAATCAATACTATAATGTAATGTAGCAGAAAAATCAGCTTAAGGATGTATGAAACGGGGCGCCTGGGTGGCTCAGTTGTTAAGCGTCTGCCTTTGGCTCAGGTCACGATCCCAGGGTCCTGGGATCGACCCCTGCATCAGGCTCCCTGCTCAGCAGGAGGCCTGATTCTCCCTCTTCCACTCCTCCTGCTTGTGTTCCCTCTCTCACTGTGTCTCTCTGTCAAATAAATAAATAAAATCTTTAAAAAAACAAACAATGTATGAAACTATTTTAAAAAGTGTGATTTCGGAGTGCTTGGGTGGCTCAGTCAGTTAAGCATCTGACTCTTGATTTTGGCTCAGATCATGATCTCCAGGTCATGGGATCGAGCCCCACATCAGGCTCTGTGCACAGCAAGGAGACTGCTTGAGATTCTCTCCCTCTCCTTCTCCCTTTCCCCCTCCCAATACCCCTGGCTCCCTCTTTCTCTCTCTCTCTAAAATAAATAAATCTTTAATAAGTATGATTTGTATTATTTATATTGAGAAAAATGAACAATTGAGGCCCTTAGGGTCAAAAGACTTACCACATAGAAGTGCTGTTTATGCAGCCAAAAATCCAACTATTTGTATCCTGTTGATTAATAACAAATCACACTAAATATTATAGAAAATAATTACATAAAATAGGCAGCTTAACATTTTACTGTTACATGATAGGGTTAGTAAGCATGATGGAAACATAAAATAGCAACCTGTTATTCAGAAACATTTCCAAGCTGTTTCAAAAGTCATATAGGTCAACGGCAGGTAAGGAAGTCTAATGTCAATATAGATAGGTAAGCAAGTAACCTAGAACAGCAGGAAGAGAAAGAGTGACCTCTCCACAGCATAATGCATAAGCAATTTTAATTTTTGAACCAACACTTTCAGAATTCAGCAATGTCCATGCTTTAATTAGGTAGTTACATAGTAAGTAACTACATTTTAAGTATATACAGAAGATGAACACCTATTGGTAGACTTTTAAACAAACAGAAAAAAAAAAATCCAGAGTCAAGTAATTAAAAATAGCAATTAATCTAAGTATAGCTTGTTAGTTTACCACTTGAGTTCTCATTTGATTATCAGGCAAAACTTCTATGTAACTGAGAATGTGTTTGGATTGAAGCACAACTCCAAGGGCTCAAGACAAAAGCTAGTTATGACTTTATCAGGGTACCCTGGGAATGCCGCAGAGATGGTAGTGATATTTTAACAATTGTATGTATTTATCTTCAGTTATTTAAGAGAAGTATGACCAAAGACCTTCACTGCAAGTAGTTAAGAGCGATGTTCCAAGATCTGATGATCCAACTACTAAAATCCTACACCAAGGTATGAGGGTAAAGAAACACTGCTCAGACAGGTACATAAAATTTTCCTTAATAAACAGAGAGGATAATGAAAAAGATATCAATCCTTTCATCTAATATTTATAAAGTCTATTCTAGAGCTATGTAATTATGCTAAGCCTTCAAGGAAAAAATGATAAATGAGACAGACATGGTCTCTGCCCTCATGGAGCTTAAATACAATTTGAAGACATTTTCCAAGAATACAGAAAAGAAAGCTGAAAGGAAAACAAAAAATAACATGGAATTTGTCTGCTCTTTACTGCTGGCAAAATACTTGTGTGACTTCTGTATCAGTTAACTGTGTTTCCTAAGAATAACATGATATTATAAAGCAAGGCAAAAGAAAAGATCTGCATAGTTTAGACAGGAACATCTAGTGAGGTGTCAAAGTTCATCCCACTTTTGTAATGGGTTTTTGCAGCTACTAAGGGAGCCTATCTTCAAAGACAGCCCTTAATATGAAAATTGTCAATATTTTATACTATACACTTCCGTATATAGAGAATTCTGACTTATTCATCAACAAATTGAAAAAATATTATTCAAGTCCACCCTAAAACACCATGTTGATATAATCTATAAGGTATCAAAAGAACAATTTCAGGTCATCTAGCAAGCATCCCTAATTATAAAAACTGTACTGAAAATCTCAGAAAAAGTCACTCAATAATTGCCAATTCCTAAAGTATACTGAAGAGAAAATGCTACCTGATCATAAAATGTATATAATAGATCTAAAGAGAAACCTATCTACAGTAAAAAATGATGCCCTCAAAGGCTGCTAAAATTGTTAGGTGAAAAACTGATTAGGAACTTTATATAGGATAGATCATGCTAATACCACCTGAGTCTATGATAAGTCTTTAGGTCACTAAAGTGGGACAACTAGATACTGTGTATCTTCTGGTTAAGTACATAGTTCTAATTATAAAATATTCTTGCCACAAAAAATTAATGGTAATTAATTTAATTAAAAAATAATCAAGATTCTAAATCTAACAACCAGTTTACAGAAAACATAAGGGACAGAAACACATGTTAAGAGATACCACAAGATGGGTGCCTGGGTGGCTCAGTTAAGCATCTGCCTTTGGCTCAGGTCATGAACCTGGGGTCCTGGGATGGAGCCCCGTCAGGCTCCCTGCTCAGTGGGGAGTCTGCTTCTCCCTCTCCACTGTGCTCTTTCTCCCTCTCTCACACATGCTCTAATAAATAAAACTTTAAAAAAAAGATACCATGAGAATAGTCACCTAAACCCAGAATGTGGGAAATTCTGCAGAACATATAACCCACTTGCTTGAACAAATAAATGGCATGGGGGGGATAAAGAGGAGGCCGTTATAAAAGAAACTTAGGATCCATGAATCAAATATAACATATATACTTTTTGGATTCTGATTCAAATAAACCAACTTAGAATTTAACTGAACAGAAGACAATTGAACATGGATTGGATATCACATACTAAGGAATTAATAATTTTGTTGGATGAAATAATATTATAGTTAACCTGCACAATTCTTATCTGCTAGAAAACATATTGAAGTATTTAAGGATGAAATTATAAAATGCCTAGAATTTGCTTTAAAAATGCTTCAGTCAAAAAAAAAGTGAAAAAGGGATAAATAACAATAGCAGTATTCATAACTATCAAAAAAAAGTGAAAAAGGGATAAATAACAATAGCAGTATTCATAACTATTAAAGCTATGTGACAGTTATATGAGATTTCATTATTATATACTACTTTAAATGATTGAAAACTTCTATAATACAAATCGAAAAGATTTTTAAAATTCACCACATAACTTGATGCTAATTAATACCCATGGACCTTAAATACAGAAAAGGGATCCTCCAATAAGCCAAATGGAGAATTTGAACTTTGGCAAGGATTTTTCTCACTATAATACTGACATTCTGATTTGGAATTTAATTAACTGAGTGTGGATATTTTAAGCCAGCAGTCTAAGGGCCAGATTCTCTTGAGATAAACTGCCCATCCAGATTTTAGGCTGAGAGATGCTAGTCTCTGTGAGAGATGCAAAACTCTGGTCATCCCACTAAAATTAGTATTCATTAGCACCTACACCACAATGCCTATCATTTCTAAAGACTTTAGTATATATCAAATGGCAGTATCTACCAACTAAGTGACATATTAGATTCTAGTTCTAAAGAATACAAATAACCCAACAAAAGGGAGAAGAGGAAAGAAATTATGAAAAACACAAATAGAAAGTGAAGAAACTTGGGAAATGCCAAAAAAAAATCCAAAAAAGAGGGAAAAGAACCCAAATTGGGAAAACAAGTTCCTGAAAGTAAGAAATGCTGACTTAAATTATTACTTAAATATTCCAAACATAACAAAGGCATCCTATAGCATTAACACATTTTTTGACAATGCCTGATAGTAGGTATTCATTAAAAAGAAATACGTAAAATCATCACTTTGGTAACTCTGAGTCTAGATAACATTTTAACAAAAAGTTACTATTTTAGAGAATGTTTGGTATAAAAAGTCCTGCAAATTTGAGTATAGAAGCCAAGAGAAAAACAGTATTTACTTAATAAAATTCCTACAGATTAGCTTTGTTTAAATATATCTGTTCTTTAAAGTACAAACAAAATCTCAGAATTAGGATATTTGAACTGAATTCCTTCATCCTAAACACAGTAAGTAAGGTAGAAAAACAGGGTGAAAGACCCAAACTAGAGCCAAAAGTATAATTTAATAGTAAATTATCAGTTATAGAAACATTTTGATTAATACTTTTCAATCAAAACTGTTTTAGACAAATATTTTTCAACCTATTAGATTTAAAAATAGTTCATAGCTAAAGAAGAGATCTATTAGATATTAGTTGAATCTTAAAAATAGACTTTTAGATTTACATGCAATCTACCAATTATCTTACCAGCATGGTGCTTTGACAATAGACATGAGTGTAGATTTTTCTATGATTTGCAAGAGGAAATGTAAAATATATCTTATCAGATTCCTAAAAAAAAAAAAAAGAGGGAAAACATAATAAAACTATTAAGAGAGTGGACAATTTCATCATTTAAATATACAGGATAAAGCAAAAATTATTCTAATTTTATCATTCTTGGTGTTGTTGAGAACCAATATTCTAGGAGCGGGAAGAAGATACAGATGTAAGTCAGGAATATCAGGTACCCTGCAGTCCTGAATATGTCTTAGAAATAGCAGTACAGATGCATGTTTTTTGTTTGGGTTTGAGTTTTGGCCTAATGATCAACATAAAATACATTTCTTAGTTCTGTCCACTGAAAAGGCCTAGAAATGCTAGCCCACTAGCCATAAACATCTCTAGTGCCCAAATTATGGTTTTAAGACACCATTTCCCAAATAACAGGGAGAGCTCCTTAGGACAAAGCTGATTCAAGGTCTGGGGCAGGAAATGTACAAAATGAGTTCAAATATCTTCTCATACTAGGTAGTGAAGAAACTATCAAAGAAAGACAACCAAAGAGCAGCTTTACCAAAAAGATTTAGGAGCCTAACTTGAAATGGCTTCTACTGGTCAAAGACAGAAGAATTTTAATATTTTAGATGGAAACACAAATATGTTTAAAAGATGAGTTCATTATAATACTGGGAGAAAAACCCCCCAAAACCATTTATGATCACTGATGGAGGAGGTTTGTGAGCCAACTTGCTATTTCTGAAAACCAGAAAATATAAGATCCAAAGATCCAAGCAATTATAATTTTCTCCTTTTCTGATATGTTCCACTTTTGATAAATTTAGGAGACAAGAAATTTCCCAATATAGTGTTCCAGTTAATAAAGAAAAAAATAATTGAATTAGGGTACCACCATTTTTTGCATCCCCCTAAATGAATTAATGACTCTAGGCATGCTTCATCAACAGCTGCTAACATCACAAAAAAAAGAAATAGTCTAGCCAAAACAAAAACTGAATCTGATCAAGCAAATGAATCTGATCCAAGTACTAAGTTACAGGAGAAGAGTAGACAAAGGAATATACTAAATGGCACTGAAGGAATGCAATCAGCAAATCAAGACTATATGAAACTCTATAGGACAAATGATTTGTTTTTTCAACAAATATGCTACAAGGAAAGAAAAGCAGTAGAGTAAGTATGAGAGATTAAAAGAGGAATAAGAGACATACTAACAAACGACAATATGTGGACATTATTTGTATTCTCATTTAAACTGAGAAAGAAACAAAAAATTTAACAGTTATAAAACTGGGAAACTGAACACTAACTAGATATTAAGGAATTATTAAATTGTTTTAATGTGGGAAAATATATGTAGTTATCTTTTTAGAAGAGTCTTTATTCATTTATTTTTAATTAATTTTTTTTTTTAAAGTAGGCTCCATGCCCAGTGTGGAGCCCAGTGCAGGGCTTGAACCCACGACCCTGAGATCAAGACCTGAGTTGAGATCAAAAGTCAGACGCTCAACCAAATGAGCCACCCAGGTGCCCCAATAGTCTTTAACTTTTAAAGATAAATACCAAAATGTTTTAAAAAAAATATTAAAAATATCCATTGATGGTATACTTACATTGTAAGCCACATAGGTCCATTTGGACACTTTCACTGGAACCCACATAGATGTCCCTAAGGTAAAGGAAATTAATTTGTTTGGCTTGCTTTTAAAATATGAAACCATTACTTTTATTGAATGCTCACAAAACACTTCTCAATTACAACAAGATTTGAAAAAGAAGTGGTTTCCTGAACAATGGCTATTTTAAAATAAGAAATCTAGTAAGATGTTATCTGTGCTCATCATCAACCGGCATTCACATCAAGTAAAGCATTTTAAATTTATTTGGTGCCTTTACTCTAAGGATGTATCAATAAAAAAGAAATAAATTATTTTATTTTCCAAACTGAGTATAACAGGTATTATATTAACAGCAAATGATATGCTGTTAAACCAGAAGAAAGAATGAAAAATGACTGATACTGAAAACTTAAGTCAAAAATAATGATAGTGTTTTACGTGACTGTCAGGAAATAGAGACATTTAACTCTATCTTTAAAACTTTGTACTTGTCATGTTATTTTCAGAACAAAATTTTTATCAGCAACATCAACGGTTTCTCTCCTTTTTCCTTTCCCTAATCAAGAACCTCATAAGAAACCAGCATAGAGAAATTAATAAAACATTATAGTAGCTAAGTACCACAGTTTCAAAGACTTCACTAATAACAAATTTACCTAAAAATAAAACTTGATTTAAAATAAAAATATGTTATTACCACCAACCTGTTAAGTCAGAAATTATTGCTGGATTTTCCTCAAAGTGTTTTGCTGGGTGTCTTATAAAGTGGTGATTCAAAACTGACAATTTCTTCTTGGGATTTTGAGTTATCTAGAAAGAATAAGGATACATTTTGTATCTTTTTATACCCATTGTGATAGTTTAATGAAACTTTGCAGCAAGTAACAGTGATAAGAGCCAACAGTTACTTATTCTGGCCCAGGCCATTCTGAGTATTTAATATGTTATTAACTCACTTAACTATCACAAGAGCTCTAGGAGATAATAATCCTTTTATCTACATTTTTACTAAGAAACTAAAGCACCAGAAATATTAAGGAACTTGCCCAAGGTCATACTCCTATTAACAGTCTGGGCCAGGATTCAAACTCAGGCAGTCTGGCTCCAGAGCCCATGCTTTTAATTATTATTCAACTAGTGCCTCTCAAGTAACAGTTAAGAATAAAACATACAAAGGTGTATAGAGACAGATGAGAACTTAAGAGATCCTCCAGTCTAGTGATTCCAACACACTACTTTCTAAACTCAGACCAGTGCCAATCCCACAACAAAAAATTCACAAGTCATCAGAGAAAATATGAATTGCCAATTGTCCTTCCTTGGAAACTACTTTGCTTTATCCTGTCTTACTTTCATTGTGCCTAAATATCCTTTCTTTCATGAAATGAAAACGAGAGCAGACAATAGGATTTTTTGTTGTCTGTTTTAAAATATCCTAGGACAATAAATTTCTGCAACTTTATACCAGTTCCTCCTTTAAAGAAAAAAAAAAGTACTTGGGTCTAAAATCCATTCAGAATCCACCACTATTCAACTCTATAGTTTAAGCATTGAGGCCCTGACAGGTAAGTGATTTTCTCAACAACATAATGAGAGAATGACAAAGAAATGACAGTGAGGACCCAGGTCTAGTAAATCTTTTCAATTCCTTAGGAAGTCACCCAGCATTTGCTTGAACATTTATTTTTAACTTGCTATTGTGAAAGATAATACATTCCAATTTTAATAATTCTTATGAGGAGGATGCTCTGCCATATTTAGAGAAAATATCTGACTCCCTGTTACTTTGATATATTAAGTTAGGGGCCAGCCCTTCAAGAAACTGAAGACTGTTACATCCCCCATCCAATAAAACATTTCTTTACAGATTAAACAACTTCAAAAACATCAAGTGTTTTTCATAGAACTGTTTCAAACCCTTCATCACCCTGACTGCCTTCCCTGGATAAACTCAAGTTTGTTAATGTTCTCCTTATAATACAACATATAAAATAGAATATAGTTCCTTAGATATCTAACTATAGTAGAAGGCAGTGGAAACTTTATCTTCATTGATGCAAACTCAACACTTCAATCAATTCAATCTAATATAAAACTAGTTTTGACTTTTTTTTTAAAGCAGCCACATCTGTTCACAATCAATTAAAAGTAATAGGTCTTTTTGCCAAAATTTTAGTTAACTCAGGACTCTCCCATCCTTACTCACTCTCCAGGGAATCGATCCACTTGTAAGTTTTTCAGCTATGTCTTTTATGCTGATAACCATCAGAAATTATTCTCTAATTCTGATTCCTTTGTACCACATGTTTGGGACTAATTATGCTTATAGTTTCCCTATATATATGTTTGCTTCTCTTCCTAATATCTTGAGGGATAGCAATCATATCCTAATTTTTTATTGTCTAATATTTAGTCGATTATATATAGTGAGTTTGTGAAACAGAACTCAGTTTCATAGTTTGATTCTTAGCAATATTAGTTACCAAAAATTTCTTATTTGTCCCTTAAAATGTGTCTGTAAATTACTTACCTATCCAGAATTATAATTTATTACACACTAATATTAAAAATTTCCTCATCTCAGGATTTAATGGAAAACAAGATTTATTAAAATTAGTTTTATGGGGGCTCTTGGGTGGCTCAGTCGTTGAGTGTCTGCCTTCGGCTCGGGTCATGATCCCGGGGTCCTGGGATCGAGCCCCGCATTGGGGTCCCTGCTCTGTGGGAAGCCTGCTTCTCCCTCTCCCACTCCCCCCCACTTTTGTTCCCTCTCTGCCTCTCTCTCTCTGTCAAATAAATAAAAAAATTTTTTTAAATTAGTTTTATGTAGTGTGTCAACTATACCTCAATAAAAGAATTAGCTTTCTGTACAATATTTATTTTTTAAAAATTTTATTATTTATTTATTTGACAGAGAAAGAGATAGTGAGAGCAGGAACACAAGCAGGGGGAGTGGGAGAGGGAGAAGCAAGCTTCCCAATGAGCAGGAAGACTGATGTAGGGCTCGATCCGAGGACCCTGGGATCATGACCTGAGCCAAAGGCAGCCACTCAACCAACTGAGCCACCCAGGCGCCCCTCTGTACAATTTTTAAAGAATATACCTGTCTGTGATACTACTGTTCTTCATGGGTTGAAATGGGGTTTTTTCCTAAGCCTACCAAATGTCATTCCAAATACAAACTGGTTTTACAATTTTAATTGATTCTACTATTATATCTAGTTGCACTCTCTCAAACTGACTAAAAAAACATTTGCCATAGTTAAGACTCACAATTAAAACAAGGCTGAAAAACTGAAACATATTTGCATTGCATGACCAATTCAGAGTGTTAATTCTATAAAGCTGTTTTACTGTAATAAATATGCTAACTTAAATACGGCATCCTGTGGCTTACAATGTGGCAAAACACAACAATTTGGGTCTCTTTTTTGGGGGGGTCTCTCTTTTATTGTATTCTTCAGGACAGAGGTAAGTATCTATGATTCTAATAGCAGTTCTGCAGCTTTCTGAAGGATTAAGGAAAAAACACAAACAGTACCCCACTTCCAAGAGTGAAAAGCCTTAGAAGAGAACTTATAAGTTCTATGACACAATAAGGAAAGCATTACCTAGAGATCTATTGAGAAAGAGGCCACACATACCAGTCTCTCAAAAAATTGGAGCCTTCAAGGGAAAGAATCCAAAAATAACAGCTAAATACTTTGCCATAATGAAGAAAATTTCCTAATACACAAGGAACTTTTTATCCAAAAGGAGAAGCCATAGCCACAGTTCTCAAGATATGTTTTTATGAAACAGTGAACAAGATGACCTGAGGTTAAAAAAAAAAGGCTGCTTAAGATGAAAAAATAGCAATCTGTTCCCAATTCACAGAAAAAAATTTAAGTTCATGGATAAACTTCCCTGAATTTTGCTGAAATCCTTGGTGCCCACTACTGTATATCTGCTGGCAGACGTAAAGAGATGAAAGAGTAATATGATGTTCTATAAATGACACTAGGATTTCCAGGTGTCCTGCTAATTGAGCAACTTGGAAAATCATTAGTTTGTAGAGTTTATAAGTGAAATCTCATTCCAAAAAACATTCAACTACTAAAAGTACATAATTTAAGTTCTGGCGAGCTTGGGTTAGCCAATGAATGAAGACATTTTGATCCTACCAGAAAGATAAAGATGCTTTTTAAAAAAAAAAAATTTAAGCAAAAATGTCTATCAAGATACATCATGAAGTTTATAACATATTACTAAAAAAAGGATAAAATAGCTTGTAGTATTTTAAGTTAAATAAAAGTTAAAAGGATATATATCAAATTTCAAACAAGTAAAAAGGAAAAATTGGGGGAAGATTTAAAGCATCTTCTCACTTTTTCATTTTCATTGCATTCTATTAATTATTAAGAGTGATCAAAGTATTATCAGATAAAAATATATTTCTATTTTGAAACTAATTACAGTTGATATAACATATAAGGCTTCTACTTTTATAAAAGCAAAAAAAAAAGTATTAAATCCATCCTGCTGTAACAAAAGCTTTTACTCTACTGAAGTAATTTTTAGCTTAAAAATACATACTTGTTTAGTATCAGCATCAATAAGATCAAAGAATGCTCGAATTGTAGTCAATTGTAATTGTTTACACCTAAAGAATAAAATGTTACAATGTAACAAAAATTTATTTAAAAACGTACTTTTGATAAAAACATGCACAATTCTATTACTTAATGGAATATCTGAGTTTTCTTTACTGTTCTAAACTCTAAAGGTATTTAAGGAATCATTATTATTAAGAATATTTTAAACTCGAAACATATAAAAATAAAGCAAATTAAATCTTCTTGGACATTTGACAATGGAACTATCAGGGTCCTTCTGTTCTCCCTAAGTCTCCTTGTCCACCCCAGCTATAAACAACTGTCTGCCCCATCTTTATATGCCTAAACTTGTGCTTCTTGCAGACACCACTGACTGCACAGCCAGAGGAAAATGAAAAAAGAATCTTTAAGCTAAAACATATAGCGATAAGATACTAGGGTCTATAAGATTAAACCTTATTTAATCTATTTATATTAAGGGTAAATCTAACTCCTACTTGGTTTTTCATGTGATGCTCTAGAATAGTTAATGCTATATTAATCAAGTCCCTGAGTTTGGTGACTGGCCAAGAGCTCAGAAGATCCTATCACAAGTACATTTGATTCTGCCCAACTATGACAAACTCTAAAATTTTGACATTTGACACTAGCTTCATTTGAAACTCATGTTAGTGGTTCTTCAAGAGATGATTTTACAAGCTGTCAAGGGAACCTTGGTCAAACTGAGACAAAAACCAAGGTTAGAGTTCTAAGCCCTTAAGTCAATCTTTCTCCCAAATCTATTTACTTATGGACAAAGTGCTAACAAGACTAACAAACCAATAAATGCACTGATAAGAAAGAAGGGCCACCACAAACCACCAAAATAAGACTATTATATATTAACTTACCATACAATGGAAAGGTGGTCTGTTGAGACCCAGGTCTTAGGCACTGCTGAACTCTAAAAGGACAAGGAAAAAAAAAAATCCAACTTAAGCACATTTGTTATTCTCCCAAAGGTTTGAAATTCTCATAAGCTAATATTTAGAAACATGTAACATTAGTTTCACTATTTTATGATGCATAGACATATTTAAATGATGCATTCTTAGAAAGGTGATCCAAAAATATTAAGGTAGTTCCTGTATAAAATCAGTATCATTACTGCTTAGTCAAGCTTAAATTACCCTTCAAATATTATTAAAGCATCTAACAGATTCCTTACTGAAGTTTAATATCTAACTCTTTATTAAGAGTCTGAGTTTATGATTCTTTAAATAAATCACAATTATTTTAGTAATTTTAGTTTTGACTAGACTACTTTGATAAATTCTAAGATGTTACTTTTTAATCAGGTGTGCCTTAGAAATACCCAGCCTCAGAGAGCTTTTTCAAAATAAATATGCCTGATCACAATTCCAAAGCAATCAAATCAGACTCTATTTTTTTAGAGAGGGAGAGAATCTTAAGCAGGCCCCAACCTCAGCACAGAGTCCGATGCAGGGCTGGATCTCATGACCCTGAGATCATGACCTGAGCCAAAATCAAGAGTCAGATGCTTGAAAGACTGAGCCACCCAGGTGCCCCCAAATCAGACTCTTTCTCAAGTATGGTACAAGGTTACTTATTTTGAAAACATCCCTACATTAGGATATATATACTACTAGTTAGAGACATACCTGCAAAAGGCTCCTAAAAAATATAACTGTTTGAAGAAGGCTTCCTAACAATGGCACAGCACCCTTCAAGAACTAGAGACTCATTTTCATACCAGGTAATGACTTTCCTGTGAATAGCATCTTACATACAATAGGAAACATTAAGTAAATCTGATATTTTTCACAGTGTCTCTCTTTGTATTCAAGAAAGGGTTGCTTACTGTGAGCCTGGGTCCCTTAAAGGGACTCCTTCAAAAACCACCCACCAACTTAAACACATACCTAGGGCAGGTATAGGAGCAATATTTTTAAGTGCCATTATCTGTATGAGTGTATATTACAGCAGTTCAGCCTACCTTACTAATACTAAAACAACCGAGGTCTCTAACTTCATTTTTCTAGTCTCAATGGCTACAAATGTCAATTAACTATTCTTGATATAATCATCAAAAAACTGTTACTTCTTAATAATTACTTTTTAAAAGTAAACACATATGTAGATATATGAAAGGTTATAAGTTATTTGGGGGCTAAAATACTAAATAAAATTGAGACATTAACCAGCTTTGAGAAAATTCCATTAAGAGGTAAAATATTTTCATCAGAGATACAGAAATACAAGCTGCCTTGAAAGCAACAAATTATCAAATGGATTAGAAAAGAGGGACACAGATACACGTGTGCGTGCGCACGCACGCACGCACACACACACACACACACACACACGAAGAAACCAAAAGATAAGCTGCAGGAAGGGGCATCAATATAGCAACATGCTCCAGGTCAAGTCTAGAAAAAATTACATCCAATTTTATATTACTAAAATATCTGTGTTTACTAAAGAATTGATATTTAATGTTTTGAGGACTTCCAGCAAATATCTGCCCCAAATAATCAACATCAAATAAAACAATTCATACCAATAATGAGGTTTGAGAGATTTACCAATTTAGTTTCAAAGCTACTATGGTTATATCACAACTCCTCCGGTAGTAAGAAAATGGTGGGCAATAGTAGAATGGCTTAATAATTTTTGTCCTATGTGTGGCAAGCATTCAATAATACTTGGTTAATAAATGAACAGTAATCTAAGGTGGGGCAATAGGTAAACTGAGCAAGGGAGTATTTATGAAGAGAACAACCATGAAACAAAGCACTATCTCCTAAAAAGCAAAAGGAACACTGGATTTTTTTTAGAAATTAAGTTATATTTGGAGATGATGTGCCGTATACACATTTATACATACTATATACAATATCTATATACTGTGTGGAGTTAAAAAATTAAGATCTTAACTGAAGACTTCAAGGTTAAAAATACAAGAAATAATGTAAGTCCTAAAATGAAACTTGAACTCACTTTACAGAGGCTATGTATCCCAGTTAAAGACCAAATACTTGATGTCCTAGCAGGGAAGAATAATTAGCAAATTAATCCGTCAGGGTTCTGTTATACTATCAAAGCTAATTTTTAAGTTTTAAAATTGGTAAACCTTTACTCAAGTTTAGCACTCAAGAGTTTGATATTCCATTTCTATTGTATACAGCACTCAGATATAACAAGGGACACTTGGACTTCAGTCCACACTTTCTTACAGTTAAAACTCTCATCAGTGGGTAGGTACTTATTTTAAACAAGGAACAACTATTTGTAAGAGTCACTTTCATAAATAAGTCATTTTCACAAACTTTCTAAGATCCTTTTTACTTTCTGTGGACCCATGCCTCTGCCTTCCCAACTTATTTTTATTCATTCTTTCATAGTCTCTCTCTCATACACATGCACATACACACATAGCAGCACTACACCAACTCAGTAGTCATTTTTTTTTTAAGATTTTTTTTTTTTTTGACAGAGAGGGAGAGAGAATGCAAGAGTGGGAACACAAGCAGGGGGAGTGAGAGAGGGAGAAGCATGCTCCCTGCTAAGCAGAGGACCTGATGCAGGGCTCGATCCCAGGACCCCGGGATCATGACCTGAGCTGAAGGCAAACGCTTAACAACTGAGCCACCCAGGCACCCCTCAGTAGTCATTTTCAAACAACTACATATTTCTCCTTTCATACCCCACTATATCCATTCTGTTACTATTTCAGTAGAATCTTAAAAAAATTACCACAACGGATAAGGCACTGGTATGATGGCTTAATTTTGGTAGAAAAGTCAGTCCTGAACGAACTTGGTAATCCCGGAATCCTCCAGCTACAGAAAGCGTGGTTAAATTTATGTGTCTAGCATTTAGAATCCAATAGTTGTTTACAGTCATATAAAAGTCTGGTAGGAAATAAAGACACACGTTAAAAATTAGTCATTCCCTGCAACAATAAGGTATCTATGACACTAATATTAAATTGAATTTCTGTTTAAGCCATACTGAATTGTCTATAAACAATGAATGTTATTCATATTTCTCTATTCTGAGTAAAATCAGTATCTTTACAGAGTCTGTTTTCCATTAAATAATACTACAAATACTAAGAGTTACTGAAGTTATTTAAATAACTAACATAAAGTTATTATAATAACTTTATATAAATAAATAACATAAAGTTTATTAGCTTTGACAAGTCCATACATAAACAGGTCTCTATATCCCACAAGAATGCTGCTAGATCATGAGCCACACAGTATAGCAAGCAGAAACCCCTAAAATTCTACCAAAGATACAAGTTCACTATGCTAAGGCATTGTAGATCTTCCTAATCATGGCAGTGTGAGAGCTTAGCAGCTCTCACAGTACCACACAAAGTACTATTTAAGTTCTTAAAATACAATCAGGACAACAACAATCACTTTGGTCTTGGGACTTAATGCTGCTACGGAAAATATAAGGGTTAAGAAGGTTCTACTCATTTAGAGTTAAGTAACAGGTAGCTCAATAGGAAGAATCTACAATTTTTCCACTTTATTTATGGAAGATGAGAAAAATATAGTATCAAAGATTTGAGGCGAGGGAAGAGGAGTTCTCGTTTCCTTTTCTGATTATCAAAACTTAATGTACTTTCATCCTGGCATTTGATCCCATTGAGGGCTTCAAACATTTTGGAACAGCAAACTCCTCCCATTGAAGATCTCCACAGTATTTACTTAGAATGTGATTAAGGAGACCCATGCCTAAACACCTGCAGGTCCCGGGACAAGAGTACCAATGGGGCATACGTGGCTTTATGTCTAAATATTTAAAAGTAAAAATTCCAACTAACAAACTGTTAAATCAAATATATTTCGCTGCCTACTTGACAAATATATCATTGCAATAACCTGGAAGGCCGAGTACAAATTACAAAATTTGACACCTCAGATGGACACTAGATTATGGCAGCACAGGAAGGGCAGATCTCTGACCCATAACTGAACTCTAATCTCTTCTTCCCATTCCAGTTTCATCCTGCATTATAAGGATGCAGGATATCCAAGCTCTATCGGTACCTCATGTAGAGCCATTCCTTAGCCACAACTCAAGCTTACTTACATACCTGCCCTCAGGACAGATTCAGGTAAGAAGCCCACACAGGCCATGGTAGAAAAGTCTGAAGGTCTGGTTACCTAGATCATCATCCAGAAGTAAAGGCACAGCCTGCAAGTGGGGAGGCTGCTTGGTCTATATACTTCTCACCTTGTGGAGAATGGCAGTGCCAGAGCAGAGCCCTCTAAAGTGGGTTGCCCAGTGCACAGCTTCCTTCCCCCTATTAAAGGGCAGTATTTCCATCAAGTATAAACAGGGAACGGACTTCTGAAGGTCATATAGGTCTCCTAAAAACCTAAGATCTGCCATCCCTTGAACTTGTTTTTTTTTTTTTTATTCTAATTCTGGCTTAATGAAACATGAAATAAATACAGAATAAATAAGAAAGAGGCTTGCTGATTACTAGAAAGGCACCCTGACCCTAAGAATTACTTTCAGCCTGAACATTTCAGAGACAGACCATGACTACCCTTCAAAAACAATAAAATCAGACTCTTTTGAAAGCTCTTTCCTCAGAGTTTTTAAAGATATATTCTGAGTAATTCTAATTTAACATACATGGCTCATCCATATAAGATGTAATAAAAAAACTTCTCAATTGTGTTGACAATGTTATGACTTCTCTATGCCTTTTTTTTTTTCCTAAACCTACAGGTCATTTGTAATTATTAGAATTAGTAAAGCAAATTTAAGCAACTTCACTAAAATTAAAATTTTTTACTGAAAGATTTCTACAGGCAGTTTTAAATGTAATAAGGAAAAAAATGAAACTTAACTGTAGGTACTGTTGCAGCAGATATTCCAGCAAATAAATTACTCCTTGGCAATGTTATGTTAAAATGGGTGCTTTGGTTTGGAGTCAATAAGGTATATTTCTCATTTTCATCAAAATTAAGATAATGCAAATTTTGATAGGGTAAAAAGTGGTGTAAATTTACTGATCAGGACAAAATTCTTTGTTTTCAAAGATTTTCTTCTATCATATAATATTTCTTCTATCATACAATATTTCAATAAACAGTGAAGATAATACTTGACTTTCCTTAAACATGCAAATAATAATGATGCTCTAAGCATCAAGTGAAATAATCATACATCATGTAAAGTTCTTAATACAACACCCAAAATACAGTAATAAATATTAGCAATTCCTTCTCACCATATAAAGCATTAACAGATCTATTTATTTAAAACAAGGCATTTCTACTGTTTTACTTAAATATAAGCTTATTTTGAATAAAGTACTGGAAGAGTTAACAAAACACAGGACGTTTAAACATACTTTAAGAGACAGAGAGTCATCCCCAAGAGTAATTAAACTGATTCCCAAGTGTCTAGGGATTATAAAACACATGCTCTCCATGGTAAGATACTATGGATAGAGAAAACTAACAGCAGTTTCAATTATTAGCCTAAGATGAAAGTCTCAAAGAAAGATGCTCAGAAATGGAGGTGTTAATTTGAAACTGAGCTGCACACTCTTAAAGGAAGTAGGTGCAAGGATCTGTTTAATCTTAAACAACAATGGGGAGGTCAGTTAGTGTTTATGTAATAGTATTTACCTGTTATGAAACGATCTAATGGCATCACAGGAGCAACATGAGGGGTGGCTTGTGTGATAAGAAGATTTATCAGATCTTGTTTAAAATTTTTCAATGTAAGCAATGCTCTTGCAACAAGGCCACCCATAGAATGACCAATTATTGCCACACTTTTTGGAGCAAATTCTTGACCCTATTTTAAAAAAAAAATCACCAAGGCATAATGAAGTCTTAGTATCATAACAAAAATACTAAACACTTCCCTCTACATATAAGCAATTTTATAGGAAAAAGAAAATTAAACTATTTATATAACTTTGCATAAGATACAGAAATACATTTTCATTTACTTGTAATTAGTATATACATACCATTTTGTATTCTGCCAAATATTTTTAATAGCTACGCTTTGGTTTTCTGAACCCAAATCAGAACACCTGGTCTAGTATATCATGTCTTGCCATTTGCTATATTGGATACAAGAGTTGTAATTATATTTGGTGTATACCAGAATATTAGATTTTATAGGATATAAGAAGATCATTTATTTAAAATTGAAATCATCATAAAAATTTGGAACAATTATGGTTACCACAGCAATATAGTATCTCATCATATTAATATATCTTACCAAGTTACTTCTCTATTGTGCACCTGGGTTTAAAAAGAAACCAGCATTCCATAACATCTATTCACTGACAATTACATATTTTTATTTTTTTTATTAAAGATTTTATTTATTTATTTGACAGAAAGAGACACAGTGAGAGAGGGAACACAAGCAGGGGGAGTGGGAGAGGGAGAAGCAGGCTTCTGCGGAGCAGGGAGCCTGATGAGGGGCTTGATCCCAGGACCCTGGGATCATGACCTGAGCCAAAGGCAGACACTTAACGACAGAGCCACCCAGGCGCCCCAACAAAAAATTCCTTTTTTTTAAAATAAGCATTGCTTTTTAAAAAGTCCTTTCTGTCTCCATATAGTATCCTCAGTTCCATTACCAAACTTTAGCTTATCGCTCTCCACACTGATCCTTCATCTATGCCTTCTCTCCTGTTACTATGAATAAATTGGACCTTATGCAGAAAAGAGTTAACATAGTAAGCCTGAGACTGCCATCCTTATAATGGACTGCGTGTTTAAGTTGGCTCTGGGCTGTAGTCTGAGACCTTAAATCCTGGGATATTCCCATCATTTCCTAAATGCTAAAAATGAATCTGTTTTTGCACAAAATATGGTTTATGCTGAACACCTGCTGTCCTTCTGGTTGGGATTTCGGTACATGCTAGGCACAGGGTGTCTACGTGACCAGCCCCCAGTAAAAAATTTGGGCACTGAATTTCTCATGAGCTTCTCTCATGGACAACAGTTCACACATCACAATTCATTGCTATCAGAATTAAATGTATCCGGTGTGACTCCCCTGAATGGATATTTAGAAGCTTACACCTGGTTTCCTCTGGACTTCACCCATCTACCTTTTTTTTTCCTTTTCTTCTTTTTTTAAGATTTTATTTTTGAGTAATCTCTACACCCAATGTGGGGCTTGAACTCACAACCTGAGATCAAGAGTCACAGGCTCTACCAACTGAGTCGGTCGGGCACCCTACCCCATGCACCTTTTCTTTGCTGATTTTGCTTTATATCCTTTCACTGTAATAAACCAATGTAATAAACCACTGTATGGTTTATTATTTGGTTTATTATTATGGTATATATCAACTATATGCTGAGTCCTGTGAGTCTTTCTGGACAATCATCAAGCCTGGGAATGGTCCTGATGATCTCCAACACAGACCTGATCTTAGAAAAAGCCAAACTCTCCATATGTGCTCTGACACCTATCCCCTTTGGCCTTCTCAAGTACATCACTCCAGCAATTCTTCTCACTTTTTTCTTGCACTGTTATTTCTATTAGATCATTCTTGCTAGTATATAAATACAATACTATTTTCCCTTAAAAAAGAAACTTTACTCCCATTTTGCCCTTAGTGACCACATCTTTCTCTACATATCTATAGCGTAACTCATCAAAACAACTGCCTATGCAGTACTTGCCATCTCCAATTTCTTAACTTCTATACTCTTAAACTCATTCCAATTAGGCTTTCACCTCAACGCTCCTCCAAAACTATTTCAAGTCACCAAGGAATCTAATTGCCAATTCTCAATCCTCATCTTACTTGAACTATCAGCAGGATTTGACATAGATTACTTCTTCCTCTTTGAAATGATTTATTTGGTTTTTTGACAACATAATTCTCCTGGTTCTCCTCTTACCTCACTGGCTGCTTCTTTCTAGTTTCTTGTTGTTTCCTTCTCATCTCTTAATATGGGAGTGACTCAGGCCTCAGTCCTTCAGTCTCTTCTTTCACATCTTGACTCCATAATGATCACATACAGTCTCATGGCTTTAAATATATCTATATCCTGTCAACCCTCAAGTTATTATCTCCAGACTGGACCTCTTCTCTTAAGCTCTTAAACTCCAATTGAGTACCAACTACACTTGGGATGTCTAAAGTGCATCCCAAATCAAACCTGTCTAAAACAAAACCACCTATGTCTTCTTTGGAAAAATGTCTGTTCATGTCTTCTGCCCATTCTTATCTGGATTATTTTTTGGGGTATTGAGTTTGATAAATTCTTTATAGATTTTGGATCCTAACCCTTTATCAGATATGTCATTTGCAAATATCTTCTCCCATTCCATAGATTGCTTTTTAGTTTTGTTGTTTCCTTCACTGTGCAGAAGCTTTTTATCTTGATGATGTCCCAGTAGTTCATTTTGTCATTAGTAGACAGAGGGAAATAAAAGAGCACTGGGTATATATATAAGTGATGAATCACTAGATTCTACTCCTGAAACCAGTATCATTCTATATGTTAACTAGAATTTAAATAAAAACTTGAAACAAACAAACAAACAAAACACATCAGAATTTGTAAGATTAAAGTAGTGGTTAGAAGAAATACTATAGTCTTAAATGCTTAATTAAAAAAGAAAAAGGTTCAAAAACAATAATCCAACATTTTTTTAAAGGATTTTATTTATTTGAGAGAAAGCATGAGCAGGGGGAGGGGCAGAGAGAGAGGGAGAAGTAGGTTCCCCACTGATCAGGGAGCCCGACATGGGGTTGATCCATACTAATGGTCTTTAGGAAATTCAATGCACTTCTAATTTATAAAGTTAAAAAAAGTTTTTCCCCTAAATTCATGAGAGGTTTCTTATAAATTCAATTAAAACTTCAAAAACCACTGAGCTCAAAACAAGACTCCCCCCCACACACATATAAAAACAAAAACAAACCCTTTGTGTCATCTTCACTTTAACTTCCATATAAACAAATAAATGACTTAAAATATGTTGAATCCCTTAAAAAATGCTAATAGGTGATCACTATTGATTTGCATGCCTATCTCTTACCTTATAGAGTTTCAGAATTGTTTTAATGCATTCATGTACAAACTTCGTCTGTTTCTGAAGACTTCCACCATACAGTGCCACCAGTTCTTCATTGAAATTCACACTAAAGAAGTCAAAGTGGTACTTGAAGTCAATGTCTTCTGCTTTTCTAAGTGCAATAGAACCAATTGAACGAACTGCAGAGGAAAAGTGCAAAGTGTACATTAAACAAAATTTTTAAAAGTTGCAACCATTCTTGCTTCAAAGTCTCTTAACAAATAACTTTATCCCACACTCTGAATATAAACAACCTACTTCAGGGTGACATCCTTCAATGCTATCAATTTAGAAGAACAAACCGTTGTTTGTATTATATGTCTTGTGCCCTAAATGTTTTTTTTTAAATTTAAATTAAATAAAAAGTAAACAGGTCATTCATTCTTTACCTGCTTCCACTTGATTAGGAAAAATAACTAAAAGGGAGGGGAAGAATACTTTGAATAAGAAATGTTAGCCATCTGTATGAATAAGTCACACTTGAGGATTTTAATTTAAGAATGAGAAAATTCCTACAAGAAATATGCTCATCACTTGGTTTAGATACTTATGCTTGATTTGTCTTTGTCTTACACGACACCCAATCCATCAGTAAATCCTATCAACCTCTACTTTCTAAATATATCCCCAATCAACACTTCTCACCATTTCCACCACTGTCTTCCTAATCTAAGCACCATCATCTCTTGCCTTAACTACTCTAATAGTTTCCTCACTGGTCTACCTGCTTCCACACTGTTTTAGGTTTTGCTCTGTAAACCCTTCCACAGAATTTGTGAATTGCATTAATTGGCATTAAAAGTTGCAGTGTATGGGTTAGCAAACAAAATACCTATTTGCCATTCCATTTTTTTAACATACACAATTCACATACTATACAACTTATTATATAAAAAGTACAATTCAATGATTTTTAGTATATTTACAAAATTCTACTAATCTAACTTTAGATATTTTTTAATTACCCCAAAAAGAAAACCCTGTACTCATTAGCAGTCATTTCTTATTCCTCTTCTCCTCCCAATCCTGGAAAGTACTAATTTACTTTCTGTCCCTATGGATTTGCCTATTCTGGACATTTCTATAAATGGGATCATATACATGGGTTTTTATGACTGGCTTCTTTCACTTTTATAATGTTTTCAAGGTTTATGCACATTGTACCATGTAATTCATGTTATCAGGTAATTAATTCCTTAATATATAAAAGCTTTGGGTGTGCAGTTTTATAATTCAACACCTGTATACACTACAAAGTGATCATCACCACAAATCTATTTACCATCTATCATATACAACTGGCCCCCTTTGCTCACTCCCAACCTACTTACCCTCTGGTAACCACCAGTCTGTTCTCTTATCTGAGTTTATTTTTTTTTTAATTTTTTAAAAATTCCACATTTCAGTGAAATCATATGGTATTCGTCTTTTTCGGACTGATTCATTTCACTTAGCATAATTCTCTGAAGTTCCATCCATGTTATTGCAAATGGCAAGATTTCATTCCTGTTATGTCTGATAGTAGTAGATACTTGTCAATAGTAGTCTGACAAGTATGAGGTGATAGGTAGTTTTGATTTGCATTTCCCTAATAATTAGTGATATTGAATATCTTTTCATGCCTGCTAGTGACCTGTATGTCTTCTCTGGAGTAATGTCTATTCAGATCCTACATCTATTTTTCAATTGGGTTGTTTTTTGTTGAGTTATGTAGGTTCTTAATATATTTTGGATATTAACCTCCTATTGTATATATGGTTTACAAATATCTTCATTGAGTAAACTGCCTTTTCATTTTAATGGTTTCCTTTGCTGTGCAGCTTTTTAGTTTGAAGTAGTCCCATTTATTTATTTTTAATTTTGTTTCCCTTGCTTTGGAGCAAGATCCACGAAGATGTTGCTAAGACTAATGTCAAGGAGCTTACTGCCTATATTTTCTTCTAGCAATTATAAGGACTCAGGTCTTATATACAAGTCTTTAATCCATTTTGTTAATTTTTGTGTATAGTGAAAGATAGTGGCCTAGTTTCATTCATTTGCTTGTGGCTGTCCAGTTTTCCCAACACCATTTATTGAAGAGACTGTCCTTTCTCCACTGTATGTTCTTGGCTCTTTTATCAGAGATAAACTGACCATATATGTGTGGGTTTACTTCTGGGCTCTCAATTCTCTTCCACTGATCTGTGTGTGGTTGTTTTTTGTTTTTTTTGTTTGTTTTGTTTTGTTTTTGTGTGTGTGTGTGTGTTTTGATTACTGCAGCTCTGTAGTACAGTTTGAAATCAGGGAGTGTGATACTTCCAGCTTTGTTCTTTTTCAAGATTGCTCTGGCTATTTGGGATCTTCTGTGGTTCCATACAGATTTTAGAATTATTTGTTCTAGTTCTATGAAGTATGCCATTGGAATTGTGATAGGTGTTATCTGTAGTTGCTTTTGGCAGTATGAACATTTTAACAATATTAAGGCTTCCAATCCATAAGCACAGAATATCTTTCCATTTATTTATTTTTTAATTTCTTTCATCAGTGTCTTATAGTTTTCAGTGTAGAGAGCTTTCACCTCCTTTGTTAAATTTATTCCTAGGTATTTATTTACTCTTTTCAATGCAATTGTAAATGGGTTGTCTTAATTTCTTGTTATTAGTAATACAGAAACACCACAGATTTCTGTACATTGATTTTGTATCCTGCACTTTACTAAACTCATTTATTAATTCTAACAGCCTTCTGTGGAGTCTTAAGGGTTTTCTATATATGTCATCTGCAAATAGTGACTATTTTACTTCTTCCTTTCCAATTTGGGTGGCTTTTTAAAAATGTTTCTTTCCTTATTGCTGTGGCTAGGACTTCCAATACTATGTTGAATAAAAGTGGTGAGAGTGGGCATCCTTGCCTTGTTCCTGAAATTAGAGGAAAAACTTTCAGCTTTTCACCATTGAGCATGATATTAGCTGTAGGACTGTCATATATGGCCTTTATTATGTTGAGGTACATTCCCTCTATACCCACTTTGTTGAATTTTTATCATAAATGAATACTGAATGTTGTTGAATGCTTTTGCTACATCTATTGAGATGATCATATGATTTTTATCTTTCATTGTATTAATGTTATTGTATCATGTTGACTGATTTGTGGATGCTGAACCTCCTTGCATCTCTGGAATAAATCCCACTTGATCATGTATTGTTGGATTTGGTTTGCTAATACCTTGCTAAGGATTTTTGCATCTATGTTCATCAAGGATATTGGCCTGTAATTTTCTTCTTTTATGGTTCATTCCTTCTTATTGCCGAATAATATTCCATTATATGGATATAGTTTATTTACCCATTCTTTAGTTAATGTTGGGTTGTTTCTACATTTTAGTTATTTTGAATAGTGTTGCTATGAACATTTGTAAACAAGTTTTTGTGTGAATGTACATTTTCATTTTTCTTGAGTGGAACTGCTAAGCATAAAATTCTATGTTTAACATTCTGAAGAACTGCCAAACTGTTTTTCCAAAGTGGCTCTACCATTTTATATTCCCATCAGCAATGGATGAGTGTTTTGATTTCTACACACACACACACACACACACACACACACACACACACACACTTGCTATTATCTTTTAGATTATAGCTACTGTGGTGGATATGAAATGATTATCTATCCTTATGGTTTTGATTTGCATTTCCCTGATGATTGATGATGTTATCTTTCCTTCTCCACTCTTGCCCCTTTACAGCATATTATCTACACAGCAAAGCCAGAGTAATCATTTTTTTAAAAATAAATCACACCTACCATACTGTATAGAATTTAAAAATCTGACAATTCCAATGTTGTCAAGGATATGGAGCAAAGGGAACTATAATGTAGTATTTCTGGGAGTATAAGTTAGCACAACCAGTAAAAATAGAAGGATACATATAACCTGTGACATGGGAATAATGTTATGGCATACATCCTACAGAAACATGGGCTTATGTGATCCAAAGTAAGAAAAATGTTCTTTACTTGTAATTGCCAATAAATATAAATTACACAAGTGTCCAAAGACAGAATATTTAAACTATGGTATAGTCATATAATGGGATAACAAAGAATGAAAAAAATAAATGAACTTGGATGAATTTTTTTAAAGATTTTATTTATTAGAGAAAGAAAGAACGATGGGGGGGGCAGAGGGAGAAGCAGACTCCCTGCTAAGCAGGGAGCCCTATGTGGGACTCAATCCCAGGACCCTGGGATCATGACCCAAGCCAAAGGCAGACACTTAACCAACTGAGCCACCCAGGCATCCCAAACTTGGATGAATTTTTAAAACGTTGAGTAGAAGAAGCCAAACACAAAAGAATACATACTGAATGATTATGTTTATGTTACGAAGTTTAAAAATAACCCCCCAAAAGTGGATTGTATTAGAGATACACATTTAGATACTTAAACAATAAAAGTCAAGGAAATTTACTACCTTTAAGTTAGGATTGTGGTTACATCTAGAAAGAGGGGAGAAAGTTTTATCAGGAAGGAGCATAGAGGGCATTTCCACAGTACTGGCAATCTTCTACTTCTTGACTTAGATTTTGGCTATATGATTATTCACTTTATAATAATTTTTAATTGAATATATTCTACACATTTCCCTGTATATGTGTTGTATTTCAAACAATTAACAATTGACAAAAAGATTGGATTGTATCATTTCCTACCCAAAAACCTCTAATAGTTTCCCAACACACTTGGATCAAAATTCAGTCTTTTCCACAGCTTATATGATATAGCCTGAGGCTACTTTTCCATCCTTATTTTTTGTCACTTTCTCCAGGTTTTGTGGCCTTGAATGTACTAAGCATGTTCCTACCTTAGGGTCTTTCTTCAAATAGTCACATACCTCAGTCTCTTGCTGTATTCAAGCCTCTGCGCAAATGTTACCTCCTCATCCTGGCCTTTCCTAGCCACTTCAACTAAACTAGCCACCTCCTGACCCTATTTCTCCTTTATCCCTCACTCTGTTTTATTTTTCTAACTTTTAATATTACTGATATATTTATCTGATGGCTGTCTTTCCAACAAGAATATAAGTTTAACAAAGGGGAGGGACTTTATCTATCTTGGTCTGTTTTGGATCCCTAATACCTAACACACAAATATTTACTAGATAAATACATAACACTAAATGTTGAAAGAATTCTATTCTTTTTTTTTTTTTAAGATTTTATTTATTTGTCGGAGAGAGAGTGCATGCACAAGCAGGGGGAGCAGCAAGCAGAGGGAGAAGCAGGTCCCCACTGAGCAAGGAGCCCGATGCAGGCAGGACTCAATCCCAGGATCCTGGGACCATGACCTGAGCCCAAGGCAGATGCTTAACCGACTGAACTACCCAGGGTCCCTGAAAGAATTCTATTCTTATTATATAAAAGAATATGCCAGTTAATAACCAAAAAGCACTTTTTAAATGAAGTTACTTCCAGATTACTTGACTGTTATGCCAGAAATAACTGCTATTATCTCCAGGCCAACATTCAATTTGGAATCATACATAAAGGTTCCCTATCTTCACCTTTCTGTGTTCCCATCAGTATTTCTAGATCTAATTTAAATAGCTCCAAAAGAAAGAAACCAATCTTTTCTCTTGTTTGGCAAAACATGTACCAATTTACTTCTCTGATCAGTATTCTAGGTTATGTTTTCTGTACCTTCCATTTCCAACATAAACCTTTCTTCTGCTGATTCCTGAATCCCTGTATCATTTATCCTACCTACTCCATCCTGTTCTTTTTCTCCATCTTACTCTTTTCTAAGTGGTCTTCAACTATTCTTTGCACTCATTTTTTTGTCTCAGACAAAATGTCAAATATTTGTGTCTCCCAGTATGCCTAGCACAGTACTTAACACAGAGTATGTATCTGATAAATTCTTCGATTGAATTTTACAGCTTTCAAAATTTACTTCCAAGACTTACCTTGCTTATAACTTCCAGCATTACCAGGAAGAAAGAGAACTGGAATACCAGTCAAAGGGAGAATTTTGTGTTCTTCAGCATAGGATCCTTCTCCATAAAGATATAATTCATATGTAGGATAGCGTTTTGCCAGTTTCTTTGGAAGTTCTATTTTCTGCAGCAAAAAAAAAAAAAGAGGCAATTTCAATTTAATCAGTTGTATTAATACAATTCTGTCTACTGTGCCCAATTCTGAATTACACACATTTGAAACAGTATAAAAGTATTACTGATGATAAAACTGCACTTAATGCCCAAAGTAAGTTTTACTTTTAGTTTATTCATATGTAGAATTCATTTTGAATTATGTGAGTTTTGAACCATGCAGTCTTCAGAAATGCATAAAATGGAACTACCTGAAATTCTAATGAATACAAATTACTCAAAATAGCCACTGACAAAAGAAAAACACTGGGGTATGTCAGCAAATTACTTGTTAATATAGTTGGAAATGTACTTAATACAGTATCAGTATCAATTACACTTAGAAATGATAAAGGCTTTCCATTATCAAATCAATTCTTTTTTGCTATTTTAAACTGGTTTGTAATGCCTCTCCTTGTACTTAGGCCCAACTATATCGTCCAGTTGTTATATCATTCAAAGGAAAGTAAGCTTTCTGACCTCTCAACTTAATATGCTTCACAAATTAATCTGGACCTTACTCTGCAATTCATAACAAATGAGGCAGTAATTGATAAATTTTTTTTCAAAAAAATACAAATTAGGTCTTAATGTCATCCCCAAAACGTAGGCATGTATAAAAGTGATGGTAAAGTATAAGCCCTTCTTCTGCTCCTTTTTAAACTATAGAAACCATTAAAAATGAAGCCAGTTACACTGAACAGTAGATTTTATTTAAGTAGACATCAATGGATTTAATGATCTAGCAGTGCTGTACATGTGCTTGATAAAAACTTTAAGTACTGAATGAATTTTAAAGTCTGTAAGTGGTAATAACACTGAAAAACCTCACTGTTCTAAAAAACAGAATTCCGATCACTCACGCACATTCCTGAATATTCTTTTAAAAATATTACCATAAACAGTCTGTGTTAGTAACAACTGAAAACATCTTTAGAGACTGTGAGCTTATTGTTTAAGACAGTAGCAATTTTACCTCATCAAATACTCAAAATGCAGAAATACCAATCCCACGATTTGCTATACATAAACATATATATATATACATATATATACACATACACATATATCACATATATGGACTTCAACTCAAATTTGTCCCAATATTGACCATGCACAATATATAATCAAAAATGAAAATGATGCAATATTTTAAGTACATATTAAGCAAAAAGAAAACATGTGAGAACAAGTATACCACTACTCTTAACTCCTCCCAATTTAGTACACCTTTGGATATGACAATACATGAGTATTAGGTCATTCTTTTTAGTACATTAGCTAAGCAAAATTTTGAACTAGTTGAAAATTAACTCAGAAGAATAGGAAGCTAGGGGCATCTGGGTGGCTCAGTCGTTAAGCGTCTGCCTTCAGCTCAGGTCATGATCCCAGGGTCCTGGATCGAGCCCTGCGTCAGGCTCCCTGCTCCGCAGGAAGCCTGCTTCTCCCTCTCCCACTCTCCCTGCTTGTGTTCCCTCTCTCATTGTGTCTCTCTCTGTCAAATAAATAAAATCTTAAAAAAAAAAAAGAATAGGAAACTATTAGCAAATGGCAAAATTGCATTCCAGAGTACAAGGTGGGAGTGGCAGGTAGAAACAAGAAGAGTTTTGACCAGACTGAAGATAGAAAAAGTATAGCCGTATGAAAGGATGCTGATGAACAAAAAGAAGAGGGTCAAGGGATTTAAAAAAAAAACTTTTATAGCAACAAGACTCCCATATATTTTAAATTATTTTATCTAGATTATTTTAAATGAGAACCCCTCCCCAAAATAGACCTTTAATCAAAATCAAATTACCTTTATACTTAAATACTATCTCCACAATCCTGCCCCTGCTGTTTATCATCTCTTGACTCTACAGGTCCTTCTAATCTCTAACCTAGAACCCTTTTTTTTTATTTTTTAAAAATTTTATTTATTTGACAGAGACACAGCGAAAAGAGGGAACTCTTTCAAAAGACAAAAATTCTAACAAGTTCCCAAGTGCTAGAAAAATACTGATTCAAGAAACTAATGTCTTTATTTTACATGTACCTTTTTCTTGTGAATTAAAACTGGAAAATTAAAATTTGAGCTCCATAATTAATAAAAAAGAAGAAAAAGGAGATTTTGATCAAAATGAATAGTTTTAAAGATCTTACAAAGAACTCTCAGCCCTTTGCCCATCCCAACCCTAATAACTCCAGCTCAATAAAAAGACCAAGGGAGAGGTGAATCTTTGACTAGTCTCTCTTCCTGTCATAACCTCCCTGCTTCAATCCATAGTGCATACTGCTGTCAAGAAATACCTTGTGGGGTACCTTCCTGGCTCAGTCAATTAAGCATCTGACTCTGGTCAGGATTCTCAGGGTCGTGAGAGGGAGCCCTGAGTTGGCCTCCAGGCTGGGTGTGAAGCCTGCTTAAGATTCTCTCTCTCCCTTTCCCTCTTGCCCCTCTGCCCCACCCCACCGCTCAAATAAAATTAAAAAAAATTTAAAAAAATAAGAAATACCGTGTTAAAGCATACACCTCCTGTGTTTCCTGATTATATTAATAGATGATAAAGGCGTGAGTCAGACCCTCTAAAATCTGTCTCTAATTATTCTTACTGTTCTTATAACTTACACATGCCACATTTTAAAATTTTTAATATGCTTCAAATTCAAGACACAAAGGATATACAATGAAAAGGCTCTCTCCTACTCTTGGTCCTTTAGCCATCTAATTCCCTACCCAGAAGGCAACCAATGTTAGCAGTTTATATACTATCCATACCGCTTATACAATGTGTCCTGGTGCCTTGCCACCTTCACAAATGCTATTCTTTATTGCTGCAGTTTTCTTGTTTCTGCACTTCATGAACTATAAATATATGCCCTCTAATTAACCATGACTTCTCTGCAGCCTTTGACTACTGAAAAGGAACTTGGATGCTCTCTTCTGTGAAGACCCTCATATGCACTCATATTATCATTTAGCACATTATATATATTTTATTATTATGTTATGCTAATCACCATACATTACATCATTAGTTTTTGATGTAGTGTTCCATGATTCATTGTTTGGGTATAACACCCAGTGCTCCATGCAGTATGTGCCCTCTTTAATACCCATCATCCCCCTGCCCCCTCTCCCCTCTAGAACCCTCAGTTTGTTTCTCAGAGTCCATAGTCTCTCATGGTTCGTCTCCCCCTCTGATTTCCTCCCCTTCATTCTTCCCTTCCTATCTTCTTCTTTTTTTTTTTTTTTAACATATAATGCATTATTTGTTTCAGAGGTACAGGTCTGTGATTTAGCAGTCTTACACAATTCACAGCGCTCACCATAGCACATACCCTCCCCAATGTCTATCACCCAGCACATTATATTTTAACTGTCCATTGCATTCCTGTCTCCCCATTGTATTATAAAAGACATAAAAATTATAAAGACATAAAGGCACAAGGTCTGATTCATCTCTAATTCCCTCTCACCCATACCCAGTGTCTAGAATATACCTGACAGAATTATTCAATAAATTATTTGCTAAGCAAACCTCACACTTAATAACAAAAGTATGATGCGTATTTTCCAATATCAACATTTTCTTTCAGACAACAACTGTTAGGTCACATATCTGAGCACAGCCAAATAAATTACTGAATGGGAGAAAACAACACAGATGTTTCTTCTCCAATTTTACAATCTGCCTAAAACTGTTTGCTACCAAACAAAAGCTTTGCCTTGCTATCATAATAAAGCAAGAGCTTTAAAGGATAATGTGTATTTTTCCTGGTAGGTTTGTGAGATGTTCAGTTAACTCCGAACAAGCAAATTTTGGAAAACCAAAGGTAGAAAATGAATACTCAATTTTTTTTGCATTTTTTAAATATTTTATTTATTTAATTGTTTGAGAGACAAAGAGAACGAGTGGTGTGGAGGGGGAAAGGGGGAGAGAAAGAGAGAGAGGATCAGACTCTCTCCTGAGCAGGAAGCCCAACACAGGGGCTCTGATCCCAGGACCCTGGGATCACCACCTGAGGTGAAGGCAGACACTTAACAAACTGAGCAACCCAGGCGCCCCTACTCAAACAATTTTATTTTTTTAAGATTTTATTTATTTATCTGACAGAGAAAGACACAGCGAGAGAGGGAACACAGCAAAGGGGGTGGGAGAGGGAGAAGCAGGCTTCCCGCGGAGCGGGGAGCCTGATGCGGGGCTCAATCCCAGGACCCTGGGACGATGACCTGGGCCGAAGGCAGACGCTTAACGACTGAGCCACCCAGGCGCCCCCCTACTCAAACAAGTTTAAATTCAACACTTCATTTTTACAAATAGGTTCAAATTCCTGTCCCACCTTTAATTTTTTAAAATGGAGAATAAAGTTGAGTGTGTTTCAACTACCTTTCATTTCCTCTAAAATTTGGCTAAAGAATATGCAAATTAGCAATTAAAAAAAGCGTCAAGAAGAAAACCCAATGTCATCTCAAATGCTGGACATCAATCTGCAAACAATTAGAAAGCTTACTATAAAATATGACTAAAAATAAGCAACACATATAAAATATATTTAGAATATATATTCATTAAAAACCACTGGTTCTTAATAGAATTACTGTTATTCAGAAATCTCACTATATTTCAAAATGACTCATTTCTATAGACACGTTTTAACTGTATTTCTAAAATAACACAATCTGGTGTGCACAACAAAAGGTCTAAGAATCAAATATAAATACTGAAATTAACACAGCTTTTTACATCATAAAAAAAATAAAAGTCTACTGAAAATGTGTATCAGAAACTCTGGCTGCTGTAATTATTACTGTACTGACAAATTATTAATAGTAATGGAAGTGTAAAATCTCAAAAAGGGAATCTAAATCAAAATAACTAAATACAAACTACTCGACAAAAAAAAAAAAAAGGCCAAATAGCTCTTTTGCACTAGCTAATTTTCTGTCTTTCCAGTTAACTTTATGAGGCAAGAAATGGATCTGTGAGTCTGTACGCTTTGTTCTCAACACTAAGCAATTTCCACTACTGCAGATATTGAAATAGCTTCAATAATTGTGGACAATCTCAAAATAAATAGGAATTAGTTCTGTATCATTCCAGATAATTGTTTTAATCAAACTCTTCAATGCAATACAAAACTAAAGTGACCTACTTCAACCTGTTGAGTTTCCCAATTATTAAACCACATTAAAATTAAAGATTATAAGGGCTCTATTTTCAGTTAAAAAAAAAACTAAACTAAAAGCCCACATAATTAACTATGCATAGCCTCTGCTAAACATAAACCAGGATATGTGCTTAGAAACTGAGACAACAGTAACACGTTAAAATCTCATTCAATAGTATTTGATATCAAGTTTTTCCACTCCCTTATAAGCATTTTTTGCTTATTGATGCAAAACCAAGATAAGGATCTCAAAACAAATGAAATCTAAACTAGAATTTTGCCCATGGGGAAAAGATGTTCTTCAGCAATCTAAACCTTAGGTAGTTTTAGGATCTAAATAATGGCATTAACCAAGTAATATGCTCCTCCATAACGACCTGTACAGAGAGGCAATTACGATCTGCATTCTTCACCTTAAAAAAAAAAATCTGCTATGGTTTTAAAAGTATACTTAAAATACGTTTCATCAGTAATATAGTCCATATGCTTTTTAGGGTAGGGAGTAACCATTATAACATGTATTCCATAATTGGGAGATGCGTTTAGAAATAAAAGAATCATTCAGGAGAAATTTCTTTGGACAGTTGTGTATAATTTATCACCACAGCTGGTCATGAATGAAATTCTAGATTCTACTATGTTGACCTGAGGAAACAATTGTGATTGAAAATACTCAAAATGGAACTGAAGAGGTGGGGGGCAGAGTGCGAGTACGCGCGCCAGGAAGGCCGGGTCTCTCTTAAATTGCAAACACAGTGAGAAAACAAAAACACTATGAAATAGATTTTGTATGCAACGGCTAAGAGACGACATGCATAAACACAGGTTTGTATGTACACGCATGGACCCATAACCTACAAAACCGGAGGCTCCGCCAACTTTACAGGAGGAAGACTCAATAGTTTTCCATTTAATTACTTATCACGTTTAACCTTTCACACTGGAGTAAAACCCTGGAGTCGCAAAGGCAGTCTTGGGATCTAGCCATTACACACTCTGCAGAAGCTCAGTCCCTTTCTAGAAAGGCGAAAGCTGACGTGCAAATCACTGCGCGGGATGGTGAGAATTTAGGCGAGTGGAAAGAAAAGAAGGGTCCAGGGGCACCTGTTAAGATAGGAACGCAGGGAAAATGTGGTTTGGGTTCGGGAGAGGGGCTGAAGTTGCGTCTCTAGGAATGGGGGGTAGGGGTGGGCCCGTGCAGTCAAAAGAATCTGTACCTGGGATTTGGAACCGGCAAGGGGGAGGAGGGACAGGGGAGCAACGACGAGGGGGCCGGGAGCATGCTTCAGGTAACCTTCTACCTGACACCCCACTGTTGAGAGGACACAAAGGGGAGGGTGGGAGGGAGGGTCTGCAGTGTCTTCCAGAGCTAAAGAAAACAGAGACGAGGTTGGCATAGGAGGCCAGCAAGGCGCGGGAGCCAAAGTGGGGAGAAACCTGCAGGAGGGGCCCGAGTCTCGGAGCGCCCAGGTGAGAGACAGCCGAACCTCACCTGATACTCCGGGTACTCAAACATATAGCTCATACTGCACTTGTTCTCCTCGAAGCCGAAGAAGACGTCCCACAGCCCCAGGGTCGCCATGATAACCATAAGGGCATAAAACGCCAGGTTCCAGAGACTGACTGACTGAAGAAACATGGTGCCCCCGCCGGCGCGCGGCCCCAAATCCTTACTGAATCAGCCGAAGAACGCCTACCGACCAGCGCCAGACTGAAGCCAGAGCAGCGCGCGCCTGCGCAGACGCCCAGCCCGCCCGCGTGCCCGCCGCGCAGTGCGCCTGCGCGCAGTCGGCCGCCTGCACCTCCTGCCTGGCGTTTAGATGAGAGAAGAGGCGGCGTTTGCGGTGGGAGAGTGAATCTGAGGGGAAAGAGAAGGGGAGAAAGCGGCGTGGGCTGCGCGAGAGACCGAGGGGGGAAAAGGGAGGGGGCGAGGAGAAGGAAAAGGAGGAAGGGGGTAGGGAAAGGCTATGAAAGGCATAGCCTTTCATAGGAGGGAAAAGAAGAGGGCGCGGGAGCCTTGGAGGCGAGGGGGGAGGGGGAGGCGATCACTGGTGGGGAGCTGACCCAGCGCGGGAGGGAGGCCATCAGCGCTTGGGGCTATCCGCTGTCATGTCGCAGACATCCTTCCCTGCGCAGTTTAAAAACCCTTCCCGTTCATTTTTGAAATGCCTCAGGCCTCTACAATTTCGTTTCTCCCAGCGGTAATAGAGCACATCCACAGTCCTCTGGGCCAGTTAGCTTGAGGAGGGAACAAACGGTTTTTTTCTGACTCTGACCGCCGACCCTGCCCCATAGGTAACAGCGCTTAAAAGCACCGGCACATAGAAAAAAATCACTAGCAGGTCGGCAACATTCAGTTCTTGGTGTAAGATGAAAGCCTGAATCACAAAAAGCATTGCCAGTCTTTAAAAAACTGTATTAAAATTTCCATTAACACGCTTCCAACAGTTATCTGGGTGACCAGTTTGACGCTATCCTGTCTTGCTCTCCAGAATACCTCCTCGGAAACTGGTTCTACATTAATGTGAGGAGACAATTTCGCTCGAGCTTCCACTCAGACTCTCAAGTGACTTGATTCATTTAGAAGAATTTCGGTTTGGTTTTGCACGAAGGAGAGGAGAAAAAGCAGTTCAAAAACCATTCACAATCACGACTAGCGACTTCAGAACACGAATGTTAGGAGAAGACAGTGTATCATTCTTTAAAGCTGACCCAAGAGCAGATGCGGTGTGTGTGTGACTAATCGCAAAATTTTCCTTAGAATTACTTTTCTCACTGACTAAATTTCACTTCATTTCAGTTTTACTGATTTTCATGTATTTTTTTCTATGGAGAGGATGTTTGGCTATGATAAAATCAAAGAATTTTAAAACTGAAAGGAAGCTTATGGTTTCTTGTGCAAACCCGTGATATTCAGATATAAGAGCACCTGGGGTGTGGGATGGAATTAGGGAAAAGTTAGTGTGCAGGAAGACAAATCATTTGGAAAAGGATTTAAGTTATACATAAAAAAGGTAATAAATTCATTGAGTGTGGGAGCTCAGAATGTCTGCCTCTTGCTTCTCCTAGCATATCATGACCAACACACATAAACCAAGGGTGAATCTACACTCTTATCTCAGTGCTTCTTAAATTTAATATGGTAAGAATCACTTGGAGATTCTATTAAGCAGATTCTGATTCAGCATTTCTGGAGTGAGGCTTCAGATTCTGCATTTCTAACAAGCTTCTAGGTGATGCCAGTGATGCTGGTCAGTAGACTATACTGCTACATGGAGAAAACCCTGAACTTGAAGATGACAGAACTTACTCTTCTGGTGGCCTTCATGCTGCCTCAGAAAGGAGTGGGATAGTCAATGGACTTTTTATGTTTGTAATCTTTCTATTTCTACTTTTTTACTTTCTTCTTACATATCCATCATTATCCCCCTCCTGGCTTCACTTCCTTTCATATCTAACCTTACCCCAGTGAGCATCACTTAACCACCCTCTGCCAGAGCTGTCAACTTCCTGAACTCTTGTCTTTCCAACCTAGTCTGCTTACAGACTTCCAACCATGGGTCAATATAGTCTGTCTCTGAGCTCTGACACCAATATATCTGAGCACTGCTGGAGAAAATGACACAATCATTTGAATTACTGTTCAGAAATACTTTTATATGTTTCTGGTCAACTTCCTCTCCTAGTCTTCAAACCACCACTTTTTAAGCTCCTTGCACCATCTCTTCTCTTTTAGCAAATTATTAGTACATAATTGTATCTTCATAAAGATCATTTTTATTTTCAGATGAACATTCCTTCAACTCTTCATTCTCAAGTTCATTATCTTCATCCAGTTCAGTTAACACATCTAAAATGCTTGGAACAGGGATGCCTGGGTGGCTCAGTTGGTTAAGCATCTGCCTTCGGTTCAGGTCATGATCCCAGGGTGCTGGGAGGGACCCCTGCATCAGCCTTCCTGTTCAGCAGGGAATCCGCTTCTCCCTCTCCCTCTGCCCCTTCCCCTGCTCTCTTGCTCTCTCTCAAATAAATAAAATGTTAAAAAAATAACAAAAAATAAATAAAATGCTTGGAACAATACCTGGCATGGTACTTTGCTGTCCTTAGAAGATATCAAAAGCAAATCCCTTTAGTTGTGTTTTAGTTCCCATCCCCTGCTCCTTTTTCTTCAGGAAATTAGTTCTATCAAGTTAAAGTCTCTGTCAGTCTTTCCCAGGCTATCCTCCCTCTCCCAAAGCATGTAAATATGCTTAAATCTCATTAATTTCAAAAAAGAAAAATCTTCCCTGCAACTATCACCTGTAGCTCTTGCCTTATTTCAGTCAAGGTTCCTGCTTATCTCCAATTCCTCACCTCCCATCCATGCCTCAATATGGCATAATTTTTGTCTCCCTCACCATCACTCCAAGGCAACTGCTCTTGCAAAGGTAACTACTGACCTAATTACCAAATCCAAAGGACACTTTTCAGTCATACTTGATCTTTCTGCCACTTACTTAAAACATTGTTCTCTGTTGTCTTAACACTATTTTTCACTGGGTTTTCTCCTACTCACCTGGCCTCTCATTCTTTATCCTGTGTGATCTAGTTCACCCAATTCATGGTCTTAAATGTTTATTTGTCCTATACACTTGAGAAGTGTCTTATTTCAGTTATTATGTTTTTATGTCTAAAATTTCTATTTTTTAATTCAAATTCATCTGTCCTTTTTATCTCATAACGTTTTACTCTTACCTTATGGAATTCATTTGTATTTTAAAAATCTCTTTAAACATATTTTAAACATCTTCATTCTAAAGACCATTTATGAATTATCTAGAATTCCTCATTGTTATTTCTCCCATATATAGTAAATGCTGTCTCTCATGATGTCAGATCTCCTCAACTGCTTTATACTTTTGGTTTGTAAACTCATCCTTAGCCTGAATTATATACTGCAGCATCATGTGCCTCTCCTAGGTTGCAGAGACTTTTCTGTGGCTGGGACCACTTACATTAATTTCTTGGCTTTTTTTTTTTCAGTTTTTGCATAATGAAAGCAGTATAGATAATTGGAATCACCCCCACAAATTATGTGGTCTGGGATGCTGGGTTTTTATTATTATTATTATTTTTTTAATCCTATTCAGCGATCACTGTGAGCTACAGAGTTTCCACAGTTATGGATTTCTCTCTATAGAATTTAAAGGTTTTCATTTCTTTCTATAGGGTTCAATAATGTAGTAAAATATCTACAATTTCTGTGTGTTTAGAATGAGAGCAGATAAAGGGTGTAGGTGACAAGTTTCTTTTAAATTAGTTTTTTGGGTATTATTACCTAGCACTCCTTGTACAAATTTTAAGTCATAAAGGAAAAGCCACTTAAAGAATGTTATTTCACTTGAGTAGTGAGGAGAAAAAGCAGATTAAAGTATTTTAAGAAAAAATTAGTAGAAGAAAATGGACACTATAAATACAGGCAATTCTCCCTGCCTTTTCATATATATATGAAAGTAGTTTAAGTAGTATGTTCACTAAAATTTTTTTAGGCTGGAAAGACACCTTTTATTTATTTATTTGACAGAGAGAGAGAGACAGTGTGAGAGGGAACACAAGCAGGGGGAGTGGGAGAGGGAGAAGCAGGGAGCCCAATGCAGGGCTCGATCCCAGGGTCCTGGGATCATGACCTGAGCCAAAGGCAGACGCTTAACAACTGAGCCACTGAGGCGTCCCCCCAAAATACATTTTTAAGTGGATAAATAAGAGCTAGTAAAGAATGATCTTAGGGGGAAAAAAAAAAAGAATGATCTTAGGGGCGCCTAAGTTGGTGGCTCATCCAACTTTTGATTTTGGCTCAGGTCATGATCTCAGGTTTGTGAGATCAAGCCCCACATCAGACTCCACAATGGGTGTGGAGCTTGCTTAATACTCTCTCTCTCTCCCTCTCCCTCTGCGCTTTCCCCACTCCAAAAAAAAATGATCTTAAATGAAGAGGAGAAGGAGAAATATACCTTAAGAAGAAAATATGAAGAAACATGAGAAGAAAGAAAATACTGAGATGGAGAGGATTAAGATGAGGAAACTCTCACTGGATGATCTTAATCTTTAGGTAGGAACAAAACCCATTGGGTGGAAATAAGGGATTGGAGCGAGATGATGCTTAAAGAGGGTGGAAATACTTGGGAATTACTGTTTTAAGAAATGAACTTGGCAGGGGGTACTGGGTAGCTTAGTTGGTTCTTGATTTCGGCTCAGGTTGTTGTCTTGGGGTCGTGGGACCGGGCTCTGTGTGGCATCTGCTTGTCTGTCCCTCTGCTCCTCCCCCTCCTCTCTTGCTCTCGAAAATAAATAAATTTTAAAAATCTTAAAAAAAAAAAAAAGAACTGACCTTGGCGGTCAGCAAGGGGTGATCAATAGTGAGGACCTAGTTAACAGTGTTTCACACTCCTGCTCTCCAACTTTCCTGGTCTTCTCAGCTAACATAGATCTCTTGCTTTCCTGTGTCTCTCTTATCAAGGGAAAAATAAAAATAGATATTATGTGGTGATGAGACATTTATTTGACTATATGTGCCAAGCTCCACAACAGAGATTAAGAAAAAGAGTTAAATGAGACCACTGAATCTGATTTGTAAGAGATAAATGAGTCACTGATATCAAGGAGTCTAAAAGTACGTACATAATATAAT